AGCTGTGCTTATATCCATAAATGCACATTGCAAGTATTAAATATAATGTTGAAGCTTTTGTGTTAGTTATGCAAATGAAAACTGGCTATCACTTTACGCAATATCCATGTTGTCTAAGGTAACACAACTTAACCACTACTTAAAAGTTTGAGATGTTCTTATTTTTCTTTGCGTAGAATGCCTGCAATAATAATGTTGTATGTGTGTAATTTTCTGCCTCAGTGCTACTACAGAATTTTAAGTCTTTCAGAAAAATTGACTGGGGCAAAAATGCATGTGTGCATATAATATTGCATTAATATGGATAGAATTTTAAGGAAAACAATTCCTGGAGAAATAAAAGGAAATTGCTTAATTTTTATAAATTTTAGGTCCTGTTTTGATTCCTGTAAGATTAATAAACTAGTGTGTTCTCTGAACTTACAAGCTGTATAATTCTGCTACTGAATGAAATTCTTAAAAATATATTCCAATATTCCAGTAATGAAGTAGACATTTTTGTGACCAAAATATTTTTCTTGTTCTATAATTAGTTTGAGCTTGCTCTTAATCACTGTCTTCCATTTGTTCAACATACACAGGAGTACATGAAAAAAGCACCTCGGGAATTGAAATTACAAACATTTTTGGCACAAATACTACATGCATACAATGGATCTTTCAAGGTTCATTGAAAATGAATATTATGAAAAGGAATGCATGAATTTCAACTTCGATTTTCTATCAATTTGCTACAGCATCTTAGATAACCTTCATGCAAGAATCCTGTGACCACTAGGTGAACAAGAAAGTCATCTTGGTCTGCCCCCCGGTAAGTTCAGATTGAGCGGAGGTAACAACTTTTACTAGATACGTAGTAGGAAAGGCAAAATTTGTTATGGCAAAATTAAAGCAAGTATATGTTCATGTTTGCTCCGTAAAGGTTTTGCTTTCATTTAAATGCTTCTCTTTTCATTTAAGTGAGTTATAAAATTGCAGCAAATTTACAGAATGAGTTTCATTAGGTAAACATAGTAGACTAAAAAATCTTTAAAAATATCTGAAAATGCTTTTCCATAAACAAAACAAAAGCAGGAACAATGTCTTCTTAGAATAATCACTTCAGATCTTAAAGTGCGTAAGTTACCTTCTGGTCCCGCGGACAACTGACTGCCAGGAGGCATTTGTTTGCAAAAATGGTAAGAACCAATCTCCTCACAGAGGTCAATTTAAGACAGATAACATAAGCTGTTTATTAAGGAGCCTACAGTATCTAACAAACAGAAATAAGAATTATCAGGCCTGATTCCTCCAATGAGTTAGTATATCATCTCACCTAAAGTTAAAGCTCATCATGCTCTGGGAGATCCCATGAGGGCCATCCCCTCCTGCACTGTGACCTCACAGACTTCATCTTTTTATTTAAGCCTTTGTTCACTCTGTTCTGCAAACAGCTGCCCCCTGTTTCTCAGTCACAACCCTCCTCCTCCTGAGTGTTCTCACCTGCGGCTCTCAGCGCCTACAACATTCATTCTCCAAACAGCTCCATGACTCATCATAGCAACTTTCTTTAGATCTTTACTAAAATGTCTTCTTACCAGTGAATATCTCCCTAGAGATATTATCTACATATTAATCTGTATTTACATTGTTTGTTTTCTGACCATACCCTCTGTTTTACACACTCAGCAGGGAGTGTTAGGAGAAGAGTGGTTTTGGTCTGTTTCATGGTGCTATCCCTATATTCCAGAAATACAGTAACAAGTTGGTCAGTACTGACAAAATAAATGAATAATCTATTTCACATGACCCCAGTTTCATATTTGTTTTCTTAGTTTTAGAATTCAAACTACATAAGATACTAGTTGGCACACTGCAAATAATAGACTTTTCAATGTGTTAATTGTCCTCTGATCAATTTTCATATGTAATCACTAAACCTAAAATACTCATTTCAAGCACTGTTGTTGCTAACAATTTTATGCAAACTAAAAGCATTATTTGGAAACCCTAAGGGTTATAAAACAGACCTTTTCCCCCAAACATGAGTTGAATCACTAAAGCCCTGTTATCTTACGTGGTGCTTTTTTTTTCCCTTAGTATTTTGTAGGTCTCTGTCAACGTCCTGCCTTCCCTTGGATGAGCATTCAGATGAAGTCCCTTTCTTACATTCCGTGAGCGCTCTGAAGATCACTAGCAGCACTGTGTACTTCACACATGTGAACGACACTGGTGAAAAGGAAAAGCACCTGCTGGGAGGAGCAGCTGCCTGTGAGGACCCCCTCCCGAGGCTGGCCCCAAGAAGCAGACTGACACGGCAGTTCTACTTCACTCAGATGCCCTAGAGAAGCCCGGACAAACTGCATCCAAATGAGGCCCCTCTCAGAAAGGTAAGTTCACAAACTACACTGAGAATGAAGTTACTAGCAAGGGTCCAAGCTAAGAAAGAAAAGAGAATAAACAAAACAGCACTAGAAGATTGCACCTTGTCCAACATTCAACATGCAGCTAGGGGCGCAACTAGGTTTTCAGTTGTCCTGCTCCTCCAATCTTTAACAAACTTCTTATTAGCTAAAAGGCCTTCATTTTATCCTGGACATTTAATTGTAAAGTTACCTGAAAGGGTAGTAACAAGCTACTCTGTGTAAATAAATTGGGTAAACAGAAAACAAGTAATAGAGCCCTCTGAAAAGTCCCTGCAGCAGGCACAAGGTGACCTGTCATTTAATACACTGCACTGGCCGCCTCAGCTTCTTTGTTAGGCTCTCTCTGATTGTTTGACCTGTCTTTGAAATACTAAAAGAAAAAAGGAGCTGTCATTTGGGGGAGTTAGGGAAGGAGAGGGCAGACAGCAGCAGAGGGGGGGATGTCCAGAAAGAGAAAAAACCAAAAAGATGGACTTGCAGGGAGACAGGAGGATGCAGAGAGAGGGACAGGAGGATGAAGTGAGCACACTACCAAGGGAATTACAGAGCATGAGGGAGGAAGGAAGGGTAGAGAGAGACATAACATGAGGCAAAACGGTGAGAGGAACAGAGTGAGGTCCAAGACAGAGAAAAGAGAGCTGGGGGGGGGTACAGTGAAGGAGAGAGGAAGGACAAACAGGTTTCACAGAGAAAAAAACAAAGGTGTAGCAGAATGAGCACTAAGGGGAGAGAAACCGAGAGAAAGTGAGAGCCAGAGCAAAAATAAGGAATGGTGGAGTGAGCAAGGAAGGGCAGGCAGAGAGCAAGAGTGAAGTGTGTGTGAGAGAGCGAGCCTGCAGAGAGCGAGAGAGAGATGGGGGCGGGAGGGAGGGCTAAGAGATAGACTGCAGAGACAGGAGGGGCAAATAAAGAGAGGAAAAGAACCAAGAAGGTGAGACCACTAGGGGACAGAGAAAGGCTGTGCAGAGGACACAGGTGCAGAGAGCTGGTCTGGAATGGCTGAAAGAGTTAGGGTTATCAAGACAGTGAGTCGGGAAGAACAGAAACACAGTACTGGCAGTGAGGGAGACAAAGTGCAGAAAGAGGGGGAGAGAGGCGCATCATCCATAGTTTCCTTCACTCCCCAGATGACCAAAAAAGTCAGTGCTGGGCCCAGCACTAGGCAGGAGCTTCATCAGTTCTGCTTTTCCCAGGGGGCTGAGCAGAGCTGAACCTCAAGTGGAACAGTCAGGACTGGAAGCAGTGCCCCAAGGCTGGGCCCCTATAAGCACCTTTAATGAGTTTTTTCCTGAACTTTGCCAAATTTCAACACCACCAACTATTATTGTTTACTACTGTTTCTCTTTAAAATTTAAAACATGTCAAAGCATGTTTTCATAAAGATAGAAATGAACTAAGTATTTTCTTACCCAGTAATATTAAATACTATTTTTTATTTAGTTATGGAATGCACTAATAGAATGTTGTAGCATGGTTTACATGAAAACTGTAGAGTACTGTTACTGTCAATATTGAGGGTGGAATTATCCGAAAATAACCTCACTTCTGTTCGTATTAATTAATCTTACAGTATTATTTAATCTTGCATTTTTAAATTATTTTTCATTTTTGAAACTGGATGCTTTGGCCTGTAGAATACTTGTTCAAAACATAAGCAGAGTTTAGGCAGATTATCCAAAACATCAGCCTATAGTGCATTTCTTCCACCTCCCTCGTACAGCTACTCTCAATGAGAGCGGCACACTCTACCTTGGCGTGGCTCTGAAACGGGCACTGGCACACTTAGGGTCTCTTTAATTCTGTACTCGGACTTCCTTTCACAAGACTATCCTTGTCCCTTGTTCATCTGTGGAAGCCTACTCTCATGCAGGATGCATTTTATATTTTCTACTATAACATTCCTAGCCTTACCACCTCAGGACAAATTCTCCAAAACATGTGCAAGGAAATATATACTTTCCATTTCTTTAACAGGAAGATGGATCACCCTACAAGAAGGACTCTCTGGTACTAAAGACCAAAATATCTAAGTAAGAAAACCTGAGGGATTAATATACTCAGCAAGTGAACATGTGTCTAATTCATAGATTAAACAACTACGATCAGATCCACAAAATGTACTTTGGTGAATTTGCAGCTTCAACAATGGCAGTTTAGCCTGGGAACCCCTTTTCACATCCTCCCGCCACGAGAAAGTGTGACTTCTAATGCCCAGAGCTCCTTTCAACATTTGATGTTTCCTAATTTAAGCCAGCTTTTATTTACAGGATTCAGAATACGCGTTTTATTAGATAAAATACTTTGTGATTGTTCTCATACTAAATATAAATAAATTATATGAATTAGACACATCAAGGGAAGGAGAAAATGATGAAAAATTCAGCTACATACACACATGTATTCTGCCTGAAGGTGACTGCTCTGCCTTCTGCTTTGTATAGTCCATGTTCAACACATGGTAAGTGCTCAAACATTTGCTTAATGGAATTGCAAATCAGTACCTGGGTTAGCTACTTTACAATAATCATTTAATTGATCATTAATTGTACTTGTTTATATTTTAAGAAGATGAAGATACAAGTTTAAAGATATTACCTGTAAGGATAGCCATGGTACTTGGAGCGAAATATTGATAGTAGAAAACTGAAGAAGAAGACAACCAGGCCTAGGCCCACGAGGCAAATTACTAGAAACACAGAGAAGCCATCAGTGCCTGAAACCATGCAAATGACAACCCAAACACATTTCTAGTCCATGGCACATACAGGAATAATAATCCACAATTCTCCATCTTCTCCTCAATGTAAATGTATTAACAAGGGTATGAAAACAATAAAATTGACCGTTTTAACTCTTTTCACAATTTTCCAAAAGCAGCCCAACAACTATTAAAAAGCTCCAGGGGGATAAAAATAAACCATGAACAATATTATCAGCCCCTGAGTAAAAAGTATGTACTCTAGCAGTAATATTTGTAATACATTTGTATTATTAGAATGCTAATTATAATTTTATTCTATTTCAGGTATCTTGGAACACAAAGAAAAATGTAAGTTATACGATAGATTATTGCCTGTCTCAATGCATGTTACCTAGAAACAATATAGTATGTTGGGAATAAAAGATTGGAGAGTAAGAAAATAATCTCAATGAGGGATGACAGGGGGTAAAAACCTTAGCAGCAGATAATAGTCCCAAAGTATCACTCCTGTTTGCTTTGCAAGGAAATAGCATTCTTTGTTTCACAGAATTCTCACATTGGAAGAATAACTCATCAAAGAAATATTCCAATGTTAATGCAGATAAAAAATGTTAAGGCAAAAGTAATCTATATGCTTCCAAAAGGAAAATTTTCACATTTTCCTAGCATATAAATAAAAGTACATTCCACTCTAACTCTAGACATTAATGAACAAATTAAGAATAGCCGCTGGGCCAGTGCGAAAGTTTTCACCCTGAACGTGCCAGGATCCCATATGGGCGCCGGTTCTAATTCCAGCAGCTCCACTTCCCATCCAGCTCCCTGATTGTGGCCTGGAAAAGCAGCTGAGGACAGCCCAAAGCTTTGGCATCCTGCATCCACGTGGGAGACCTGGAGGAAATTCCAGGTTCCTGGCTCCGGATTGGAACAGCACCAGCCGCCGTTGCAGTCACTGGGGAGTGAACCATTGGACAGAAGATCTTCCTCTCTGTCTCTCCTCCTCTGTGTATATCTTTGTAACAAAAATAAATAAATCTTTATATTTTGACAGTGCAATTTTTTTTAGTCTAAATGTTTAATTTCTATCACACAGTTCCAAAAGCTGATTTTTTTTCCCTCTCTCCTACACTGATTTCCTCTATTATAATAGGACAGCCCTTCCAAAAACATTTGTAAATTCATTGTTTTGCTATTTAAGTGTATTCTGACATTGTAAGTAATGGGAAATGGTAGAGTCCAGCATCCTACTGTCAATTCATATTTAACATGTTCAGTGAAATAAGTCAATCTCAAAAGGGCAAATATCATATTCTCTGATACCAGGCCACCTTCATGCAGAAGACAACATCAGTAGATATACAGGTAAGCATGCATGTACATATAGCCATTTACAGGAACTGTCTGAGATTATCATAACGAGATGTGAGAACAGAATATAAATTCCAAATCAAAGATGAATTCCCAATGAAACCATTAGACTTCCAGAGTTGAATGCAACATTTGTACTTAATTCATTCTCAAAACTTAAGAGACGGAAAATACCAGAAGTGTTCATCACTATCCAACTGCAGCCTCTGCAGCTTTTGACTTAGACAACACCCGTGCAATTGAATTTCAAATATTGGTAGATAGAAAGCAAAACTGGATTTCCTAATGTCATGTAATAAAAAAATCCTTTAAAAAATTGTGGAATATACAAGGTTGATCGACACCAGTCACTAGATACATCATATCAACAATTATTTTTGGCTAAATTACTAAAGCATTAATTACATAAATCTGTGTATCTCAATGGAAAAAGAATATACCATCATGCAGACCTGCTGCCTATAGTGCCAGAATACCACATATCAAGTCCCAGCTGCACCACTTCCCATGCAGCTCCCTGTTTAAATGTCAGGGAAGGCAGTGGAAGATGGCCCGAGTGCTTGGGTCCCTACCAGCCACGTGGCAGACCCACATGGAGGTTTTGGCTCTGGCTTACACCTGGCCTGATTTGGATTCTCCAGCCTTCTGGGGAGTCAAACAGCAGATCAAGGTCCTTTTCTGCCTGTCTTCCCTCTCTGTCCTTCTGACTTTCAAGAAAAAAAAAAGTTTAGAGGTAACTGGAAGGTAGTATTTTATTTTAGTATATAAGAATTTTACAAAATCTTTTCTGCCTTAGGCTCTGCATCTATATCTGATACTTTGGTGTAAGAAACACAGTATGTGTCAACAAATTCTCTGAAGAATTGCCCTTCACAAACTCCATCCTGTTAGGCAACATGCACGATGGAATAAAGATTATGGGTTCAACAGAGATGTAGAACTGCACCTGACAGAAAACAATTTCATTTTTAAATACATGTTCAAGTAGATGCATACGTTCAAGACAGTAAGTAAACACAAAACAACCAGGAAATCCCTTCATATGCTTATGTTTACAAAAGGCTTTAATATATTTCTAATTTTATCTGAATAAACATTAAGACTAAAACCAATTATACCAAATATACCATCACAAAGACTTACTCCGCCTCTTTCCCACATCTCCCTTGGAAGTTGCTGCTTCATTTAGCAGAACCATCCCCATGGTAATAGCAGCATCTGCAACAGTTGTTAAGGAAGCAATAGAAAAAGATGCAAAGAAAACCTGATTTATCAGTGTGTGAATACAATATTTGAGAAGAGTTAAGTCACAAATGCATGAAGGATAATGGAAGTGTGATTATATAAGACAAAATTATAATTCTTTGGGTATGTAAATATGCCTTGAATCCTTAAAGTTTCAATTTTAACATTCTAATTCTAAATGCTCTCAAATCCATGACTTTCTCAATGCATATAAATTATGGACCTCCAAAAGATACACAATTTCACATACTGATAAACTATTATTTACAGTCACAGAGGCATATTTCATCAGCATTAAAATAGAGATTTCAGCATTTTTCCATTTACACAGCATGCATATATATACGTGTGTGTGTTATCCTAGGCTCCTAAGTGTGTTATTTCATTGTTCATTATTTTGGAAAAAAATCTTTGTGGAGTTGAATTATGATGTCACTTGGAAATACTTGGGTAATCACAAGCATTACAAAAGTGCAGTATAACACAATTTAATGAGTTAGACAGCTAGCCAGTTTAAGACCGGTTAAATATTCTAAAGACAATGAAATTATTTCTGTGCCTATTATCTGCCTGTAACAGTAAGAATATAGTCATGCTACACTGAGAGATGCCTGTGATTAAGAAATATCGGATCATTGTTTGGTATGAAACTTAAATATTTTCCTTGGGAAGGTTTCAGAACTCACCAATTCCGGCAATGTATGAGGGGGCTTCAGAAGGTTATTAAAAATTTGGATGCTTTAATAGCATTTTCCATGAGCTTTTTGAAGTCACATTTATTATGAATTCTGTCCACATGACTAATGAGCTGCAAAAATCGAAAAGTATAGGCCAGAATTTTTAAAAGTTTGTTTTGAAAATAATTTCCTCATTTTTGCCTTCATCAGACAGCAGGAGATTCCCAAGCGCCTCCTACTCCTAATAGCAAAAGAGGAAAGGGTATTTGGAGGCTTGTCTATAAAATTAAATGGACGTCAGAGACATTGTTCTGAGTAAATATTTCCTTTCTAGACTCTTTTCATTACCATAGCATCACACTGCTTAATATACACAACCTCTGTTTCAGTGTCTTCATGATAAGATTATCCAATTTTATCAATTAGAAAATGTCTGTTTTTGCAGACTTAAATACAAATACCTGTGAAAACTCATGTATAACAAATTGTAACTTTACCTTGGCTGGAAGCTTAATATCTACAAGAGAAAAAGACCTACCCTGGTACAGACACATACTGATACACAGTTTGAAGACCCAGTGAAGCTCCATCACTGAATTCTTGGGTTCAAGTGTGCAGCAATGACCTGAATATTTTTAGGGAGCAACTGTTACTAGTACCAATGTGATAATTCTGTGGACTTGAAAAATTTCCACCTTATCAAACACCTGGGAGAATCTCTGCATATTACTTACCCCACCCCAGTTCATAGTCACAAGACATTGCTAATAAAATGATGGAAACAGAAGTAGAAACCCAAACCACTAAAACTGTTTTCTCAAACAACAGATAATCTACCACAAATAAACGAACACATTACTGTATACACGTAAATACATATATGCTTCACTGACAATTTATAGAGAAGTCTAAATTATTTAGGACAAAACATTTGTATAAATATTCAGAGTATGAGTGGCATTTAAAAACACATGTTGAGGCAGATATGCAAAACAAAACAAAACCTGTTCATTTCATTATTCCATACTGCAGTTTATCCCACTAAGTCATGGTAAAAGTGGTCCTATTTATATTGCTAGGGAAATTAAAGTTTAAAAACTGAAATGTCTAAAAATTGCAAGTTGTATTAAAACATCAATTTTATATAAACTTATAGTATAAAAATATGTAAGCAATTAAAAACATTTACATAGACATGATCTCAGCAAAAAGTGTTACTAGTGGCTTCAGTGTAGCATACCCGTTATTGTACTGTCCATTTTTAATACTTTCTAAATCATTAAACGTTGCAAACTACATGAGCAACTATGTACTTCTCAAACACACAACAAATTCACTTTTTGATGACATTTTGTGACTCTGTATTATGATATTTGCTTCCAAATGTTTTTGCCAATTACAAAAATCCCTGCAAAGATGAAGGTTTTGTATGACTCCCTATGATATGAGCTGTATTTTCTACATGCAGAGGTAGAATCTTTGATACGAGGTATGTGTATTCCTAGTCCATTACTTACAGTCACGTGGATCTCTAAAATGGCCAATGGAAGAGTTTCCGTGTGTCCTGAATTCTACTGACGGAGTACTGCAAACCTGATTTTGTCAAACTGACATGGGGGAGGGAATTGTACACACAGGAACAAATGAAGACAAACAAGATAGCTTGAATATACATGCCAAAATGTTTTAGGTTGAATTAAAATAAAAAAAAATGCCTGTGCCACTTTTGTTTCAAATTTGTTTTGTCCAATCTTAAAGATCTGTCAGGTGGCTAATAATAATATATTTCTGTGGTTTTAATGATTTTGTGACTATTCCTAGAAATATTTCACTCATATAAAACCGGGTGCTTTCTACTGAAAAGGGATCCAAAGCCAAGTGTAAAGAAGCCTCTCAGGGTTAACAATTTCAAATGTACAGAATCGGCCCATCAGCTGCAATGCACCTATGACATTTATGAAGGGCAAGCCTCTTGGCGAGGATTTCATTATCCGGCCTATGGAACTCCCAAGAGTCTGCTCCCAATTTATATGCTTGCCTCTTTTTCTCCACTAAACGACATTTCTTCTCTATTTATTCCTTTATACCAATTATACCTTCCACAGGAAGACCCTTGTCCCCTCAACACTCGTGCCTCTGTGAAACCATTGTAAAACAGCTGAAGAGTTTCCTTGGTCACTGAGCGGCTGCGGGTGCTTCCTCTGCATGAAATCATCACAGTATCCGCCAACTGGGTTATACATATTTTCACTTCTTACAAACACTGAATACTCATGGCGCATCAGGTGTGAATGGACATACACCTGAATAAAAAATGGAAATAAAATCTTACTAGGACAAACACCAAGCATTCCATGTTACTATATAGTATACAGATATGCCATATTTAAATGAAAACTGTAACATTTCTTAGTCCTTACTCAAGATATTTTTCTCCTGTGGGAATTGGAGGGAGGGGAATCCCAGACTGTACCGAATTGTAACATAAAATTCAAAATTTTAAATAAAAATTAAAAAGATTTTTCCCTGAATACGATAATAAAATTCAGACACAGAGAAAACCCTTACCCTTTGTAAATATAAATCTATAACCTGTGACATGAAAAGATTCCATCTGTTTTCTCATAGGTATGCTTTATTGATATATACCAACTGCAACTAATGATCTTACTAAAACAGGACAGGAAAACTAAAAGGAAGCGATATTCTCTAGAGACAAACAACAAATAACCATTTGGTGCTTACTTTTTTGCATTAAAGTAAATAATACACAAGTGAGTTAACCAAAACAAGTGCAGTAAGTCAAAATTATCAGTAGGCACTGTCAAGTGAAAGTAAAATTAGAAATTATAAATTAGTTCCCTTTAAGCTTTTACTGATAATACTCATGATGGTACCACTTAAATTTTTTTCTTTCTCATAGCTTGAGGTATTTCTAAAATTAGAAAAATACTGAAGAAATGAAGCAACATATGATTTCTTCTCATAAATAGAACAAGGACTTTTAATCCTTTATGGATTACTACTGGGATCTGTGTCAAAGGCTCCCTAATGCTTGCAAAATTTCTTTGCATGCTAAATCTCAGCTTGACGTCAACGATCCATGAAATGACACCTTGGAGAATTCCTGCCCTGCAATGGAATGATGGTCTCCTAACAGCTTTCAGTCCTTCTGCAAGGCATTCCTGATATGTTTTAACAGTTTTGTCAACTCAGATAATGTAAAAGCCTGTATTCTACAATATGTATGTGAGAGCTAAAAACTCACCTGCAACAACGTGTTTCTTCCCATTTGACTTCATATTATTATATTTTACAGCATAAATACATTTAAACAAATCTAAAAACAGTAAACATTGTTTTGTCCTTACATTTTAGTAAGAAGATACTCCTCTAAATATATTCACAATGATTTACGCTCCTTACTGTGCGGTATAAACTGGTGACTTTTATTAGAGTCAGCATTCTATAGAACATGTAAATGCTTTTACAATCAACAGACCATGGATGTGAAAACCAAATTAAAATCCCTTTTCCCACTAACTTAAAGCAAGTCAACAAACTTGTCAACTCAAACTTTTCAACCATAATGAGGTTTTGTTGCCTTACCTGAGTTCTGCAAAACGTGAGTTATAAACTACTGGGAAATGTGGTCTAGTTTGCCTCATAATATGATTCTTAACCAGCGTCAGTAAATTTTACAGGCAATACTATCGGCACCCTTTAAATTCCAATACTAATTTGATATGTTCAAGCAACACACTATAAATTTAACTTTCATTTCACAACACACATATACCCACTTACACATTCTCTAAATGTTTTCTGAAACATTAACTTTGCTTATGAATATTCACACTTAGACACTGAAACCTCCTCCCGTTCCTACTCCACTCTCGTTTGCTCTCTTAACTCCAAATTATAATCTTAACCAGAAGATCTGACTCACAATACTAAGTTAGGTCCATTTCATGTTTGGCTCTCTATCCTGAACACTCAATTTTCTGACTTACATATTCAAGAGTAAAATAATTTCATTTTTATGTTTCTATTGATAACTTGGATTTTTTTTTAAGATGCTAGAGAGGAAAAACATATAAATACCACCAAAAATCCAGCCAGACAAGCAAGGCAAGAAAAAAGCAATACTCTGAAATTCAATAGTGAATAGCAAAAAGAAAAATGTACTTTTGTTAATGATTCAAAATAATACACGTGTCTAGTATACTTGGTAAAATTAGCATAGGTATGAGAAAATTAGCAATATGGTGAAGTTTGGATTTTACAATCTTGCAAAATTCTTGACATTTACTGCCAGGGGAAAAATCAATTTGATGGAATGCTCTTTGGTCTGCCCTTTGAAATTCACCAATGTTTAAAGGATACTCAGCACCAGAATGATGTGGGATTCTGCCACAAACTGCGCCTGGCTGCTCCCATGAATGTAACTCTAGAACAGAAGAAAAAGAAACAGAAATTAAAGTCTGGGAAAAAGTCACAATTATTTCACAGCTTTATGTCACGAAGTTACCTAATAGATGTTTTTCATTGTGTTCCAACTTACGATTTTTGAATAATTAGCTCATGGGAAATACATAAAAATATTGGTTGATGGTATTACTGTAAACTATAGACAACAGTTTAATACTAGAAGTAATTACATAACTTGCTAAAAGCAATTACTACACAAAATACATATGCATAACCCTTCTAGGGTTACGACAAAAATATACTGAACAACATATGGTATATCAACATGAGCAAATAATTTTTCCAAATCTTTAGTTTTCAAAATCAAACATGATGAGATATCAAACCAATTTTCAATTTCCTAGTTTCAAAATTATAAGTTAGCTTCATATGTAGTTCCTCAAATCAGTGATTTTATTTTCGAAATAAAGGCACTGAATCTTTTTTATACTGATAAATTTTTCTCTACACTTGGGAAGAGTTGTATGTTCAGGTGACCTTAGTTGATAACAAATTTACACAAATACTCATCTGGAATAGTGTGCTTCTAAATTAATTCCCAAAAATATTTTTCTTCTGTTAATAATGCTTATGAAAATTAGGTGCAATACAGTGTTTTTAAAACAACACTCCCCGTCATACTTTCCATTTATTAAAATTTTTAAAACCTGGATAAATATAATAACAGCTCACAATATTAAATACTGGCTTAAACTCTGGCAGCTCGTGTGGTGCATAATTCTATCATGCATAAGGACTAAAATTCTCTGAATGGTTCTCCTTGTTTTCATTACTGATGAAAGAAATCTTATGGTCAACATTCTCTTTTGTTTCTATTTTTGAAATGTGTATTTCAAAATTGAAAAATTAAGAGTTTTAATGGATAAGAGTACCTAACTAGAAGCAAGAAAATTAGTCCTTTCTGGCTTTCATGTTCCTCCTGTTCAGACATGCCAGCAACTCTTTCATTAGTTCGGTATTTTCACATACGTAAAATTGGAAACTGAGATACATCATTCCTAAGGTCATACTGAGGGGGGAAAAAGTGTGTTTTGCTATCAACCCTGTCTCAGAATTCTTGGTTTGTTGGACTGTCTAATTTCACTGTCAGCCAAAGTATAGTGTTTCATCTGATCATATGTTCACATTCATTCACTAAACAAACTTTTAGAAAACCTAGATAAAACTGTCATTTCTGGTGTATTCACATTATAACTTCTATCTGTCTCCATATAAACAAGCCTAACAACAAATATGCTAATCTAATTGCTATAAAAAAAATCCTAAGAGTTTCTACATTGCTAATGGATGACAATATGAAATCAATGAAAAAAATATGCAGCAAAACAAATGTGGATGTTATAAATTACACTTGACATTGATTCTGATGAGAAAGTAACTGACTAGCTAAGGCTGTATCCTTTGCATAGTTACACTAGCAAGGAGAAAGACAAACACAGCCATAAAAGATGAGCAGCAACCTGAGTAGCTACCAATTATTGAGCACTCGTTTTGTGTAAGGCATTCAAGGTTTCCACTCAGTATCTAATTTATTTCTTAAAATTCTAGTACACATGTATTGATAACTATCATTTCACAGAAACAGTAGGCTTGAGAAGGGAAGCTTGCTGATCAACATTCTCACCTTTCTTCTGTATAAACCCTGGGATTGAACTTGGGTCGATTTGACTTAAATACTGACTTCTTTTTCACTCTCTGTATTTGCAGACCATATGATCAGGAATTCCATCCCTGCTGTCTTCTTGTGTTTGTTTACATGAGGAAAATATTTCATGTATTTCATAGATAAAATGTTAACAAAACAGTACTGCACTCTCCCATTCCTCCATTTTTCCCTTAAGTTTTGCATTAAAATATTTTCAATGTACTTTTTAGCTACAAACTTAATCCTCCACTAAATAAAGAAGAAGTGGAAAGACCACAGTCCCAGAATAGTACAGTCAGGGGCTACTTACAATAATCAAATCTCAAGATGTCTACTTAACTAAACTATGGACTCTATACACGTTAGCTCCAGGCACATATCAGAAAACACACATTTGCCTTTTGTGGATTGGTTTCTTTCACTAAATTTATAAGCAAACAATGTTCCTTTGTGTATATACAAATATTCTTTATAATGTTGCCAGTGGGGAGCCAGGACTAGATGCAATCCTGCCGGGAAGGCTCCAGGAATAGTTGATATGAAAATTTACAGGGAAAGAACTCCCCAGTCCTCAGGTTTGACTAACAGATCAAAAAGAGGTGCTTTCTCCCCCAGGCAGGGGAACAAGAACTAACAGACCTAAGAAAGGCATCTGCTAGAGGAACAAACTGTTTATTGGTATACTCCCTCTTATTGTTGAATCCTTAAGTGACCATCTGGTTGTGGTGTCATCAGTCATACTGGCTAGGCCCCTAGGTCTAAAAAGTACAAGAGTGTGTAAAATCCTACAGGTGGTATCCCAGTGCTAAACACAGATACTTTATTTTCTAGGGTTCTAGCAGACCTATTATACCCATTAAAGCTAAAGTTTAATTCTAAACTATACATATAGTTTATTCAGATTACTAAGAGCAATATGTGATTCTAAACAATTGGTAGCTTTAACACACTTAAGAGAATTCTCAAGTAGCTGTTAAAAGTTGTTTTATTTGTGTTACCTGATATGCATGTACATATCCATAAATGAGAATTGCTAAGCTAAATCCTTTTTGAAAATAACGTATAGATCTCACCAGCCTGCTTGCCGCCAGCATTATTAAGGTCAATGAGACCCGGGTGCCCCCCATGTCAGGGGAAGTTATTCTAAATGGCATTAAACTAGCAGCTCGCATTCAAGGAAGAAAGCTGCGTTATGGCCTTAGGAACCTTGTCGGTCACTGCACTAGTAATTGTGGTGCTTTTCCCGTACCGCAAGCCAAACAGCAGGCCTGGGAGCAAGTCATCATTCGACAAGCCATAATAGCTCTGACTGTGCAAAACCCTAGCGCTCAGGTTTGGCTGAGCATGATGTGTTAATAGGTGACCAGAGATGGGTAAGATCTGAAGGACTGGCGACCAACCTGACAGGGATCCCGCATGGCCAGGGCAGGACTCCCCATGACGGGTAAGGTGCAAGTCGGCTGTCGAACAACCTAAGACAGGTGCCTATTAAAGAATAAAAAAGGGGGAGATGCAGCTCCCGGATCCCCAAGGGTTAACCTCACCAGATACGCCTGTTGCACTAATCTTGCTTTTTCTCATACTGGTTGCGCTTGAGAAACTGCGGGCCAATCAACAGGGCACAACGTCCCCCCGCATGACTGATGGGTTCATGTTGACCTAACTGCAACTCCCTGATACATGCTAGACATACAATGGCCAAGGAGCTGGGAAAAACTCCCCAAGAGGAACTAGGCGGGGAATATTAAGGTAGCCTGAGTTCCCAATAAACAGCATTCTTACACGAATGATCCACTCTGTGAGTGTGATTTTTCTTTCTTTCTTTCTTTATTTTTATTTTAACCCTAGTCCCTCCGCTCGGCTCAGGGTATACCACGATGCAGGTGTTGCCAGCATCATGTCACCAATTGATGGTCATTAGTATTTATTCCATACCTTAAGTTTTTTTAGTTGGGTTGTTAGAGGCATAAGGATACGTATAACTCATCTGCTGATTTCATATTTTTTATGTAAATTCTCTGGAGTGGAATGGTTGATTTTCAGATTTCTGTGGAATCTCCATACTATCTTCCATTCTAACTGGGATGAGATAAAACCATGTGTGTGTGTGTGTGTGTGTATGTTCTGTTAGTCTGTTTTGGATTTTCAGGCAGCTAGTGAACTGAACAAGTTTTAATGCATTTTCGGTCACTTGTATTTTCATTATTTGAAAAAATACTTGTCAGTATCCTTAGTCAATTTCTTAACTGGGTTGCTTATTTTGTTATTGTGGAATGTGTCCAGATACTAATACGTCCTGGATATTAATCTTCATCAGATGTATTTTCTCCCATTGTGTTGGTTGCCTATTCACTCTGTTGAATTTCCTTTGCTGTTCAGTCAGGTTTCTCAGCTTGATTCTTATTTGTATTACTACCTTTGCTTCTAACGTCTCAGAAGCCTCACATTTAGATCCTTGATCACTGGTAGTTAAATTTTAGAAGGTATTAGGAGTATTGCATACCTCTGCATGCACAGAGCTAATTATTCCAACATCAATTATTGAAAGGTCTGTCCTTCCTCCAAGGAGTGATTTCAGCTTGTTCGTCAAACATAAGCTGGTTGTTGATTCATTGATTAATTTCTGGAATGGCTAAATTGTTCCATTGGTCCACATGTCTATTTTTGTTCTATTAATAGTCTGTTTTGATTATAAGTGTTCCCTAATGTGTCTTGAAACCTGGTGTTATGATGCTTTCTGCTTTGTTTTTATTGTTTAAGATCACTTTAGATATTTGGGGTTTCTTATTTTTCCATATAAATGTTAGGGTCTTTTTTCAGATCTGAGAAGAATGTAATTTTATGTTGATTAGGATCTCATTGAGATTAGTAAAATACATTGGGTAGTATGGCATTTTGGTGATATTAAATCTATTTCAGGAAGATGGAAAAATTTACAACTTGGGGTTATTTCTTATTTCTTTTCTCAGTTTTTGTTTGTTTTCACTGCAGAGATCTTTCACATGGTGGGCTAAATTTGTCTCAGAACATTAAAATTTACTTTATTATGAATGGGTATAACAGGCTATGTTCCAGCCATGGATTGTTTTCATATGCAGGTGCTATTATTCCTTGTGTGCTGCTTTTGTATCCTACAACTCTGCCAAAATCTTATGAGTTCCAATGATCTCTAGTGAAGATTATACCCACTTAAACCCAGTGTGCTAACATTAACACTACTTGGCAGCCATACAACTTCTTACTAATAAGGTTATTTTCAAGAATGCTAACACTTTTACATGAAGAAACCCACCAAAGCCTATTCTCACATATAA